TTTTGGATATTTTGGGGCCCCTCAGATGGCCACGCTGTTCTCGATGTTCTCGGGGTCCAGGTAGGGGTAGGGCCGCTCCAGCGCCGCGTTCCGGGCCCGGATCCGGCGGGAGATTCGGCGCAGGCGGCGCCGGAAGCGCCGGATCAGGCGCCGGGGGGCGCTCTCGGTGAAGTGACGGTCGGGGTAGTGACCCAGGGGGCGCTGCGGGAGGAACTGGGGTTACTGGGAGCACTGGGAGGGACTGGGAGGGAACTGGGAGGGACTGGGGGGGACTGGGAGGGACTGGGAGGAATTGGGAGGGACTGGGAGGGGATTGGGGGGGAACTGGGAGGGACTGGGAGGGACTGGGAGGGACTGGGGGTCAGGAGTGGGTTTGGGGTCTCAGGGTCTGGGGTATTTTGGGGAGGGGTCTCTGGGGGATGGGGCATTTCGAGGTTGGGTTGGGTTGGTTTGGGTTGGGTTGGGTTAGGTTTGGATTATTCAGATTTGGGTTGGTTTTGGGTGGGTTTGTGGTCGGTTATTTTGGGGAGGGGTCCCAGGAGGGTCAGTTAATTTGGGGAGGGGTCTCTGGGGGATGGGGCACTTTGGGGTTGGTTTGGGTTGGGTTTGGGTTGGGTTGGGTTGGTTTGGGTTGGTTTAGGTTGTTTTTGGGTGGGTTTGGGGTGGGTTATTTTGGGGAGGGGTCTCACCATGTCCATGGGCTCGTTCCTCAGCACCCAGAGCACGGCCGGGGCTGGGTTGGGTTGGGTTTAGGTTGGGTTGGTTTGGGTTGGGTTGGTTTGGGTTGGTTTGGGTTGGTTTGGGTTGGGTTGGGTTGGGTTGGGTTTAGGTTGGGTTTAGGTTGGTTTAGGTTGGGTTTAGGTTGGTTTTGGGCGGGTTTGGGGTCGGTTATTTTGGGGAGGGGTGCCAGGGGGGTGGGTTAATTTGGGGAGGGGTCTCACCATGTCCATGGGCTCGTTCCTCAGCACCCAGAGCACGGCCAGCACCGTGGCCGTGGTGTTCATGGCCGGCAGCGCCGCCAGGAATTCCTGCTCCGACAGCGCGGCCTTGGAGCGCGGCGGCGGCTCCCGCATGGCGGCCGGCGCGTTCGGGGGGAAGGCCGAGAGCTCAAACTGACCAGAAACGGGAGAGAGAGCCCAAAATGGGGAGAGAGACCCCAAAAATGGGGAGAGGGACCCCAAAAATGGGGAGAGACACCCCAAAAATGGGCAGAGGGACCCCAAAAATGGGGAGAGAGACCCCAAAAATGGGCAGAGGGACCCCAAAAATGGGGAGAGAGAGCCCAAAATGGGGCAGAGGACCCCAAAAATGGGCAGAGGGACCCCAAAAATGGGGAGAGACCCCAAAAATGGGGAGAGAGACCCCAAAAATGGGGCAGAGAGAGCCCAAAAATGGGGTAGAGAAACTCCAAAAATGGGGGAGAGAGCCCAAAAATGGGGAGAGAGAGCCCAAAATGGGGAGAGAGACCCCAAAAATGGGGAGAGGGACCCCAAAAATGGGGAGAGAGACCCAAAAAATGGGGAGAGACCCCAAAAATGGGGGAGAGAGACCCCAAAAATGGGGGAGATAAAGACCCAAAAAATGGGGAGAGACCCCAAAAATGGGGAGAGTGAGCCCAAAAATGGGGAGAGAGAGCCCAAAAATGGGGGAGAGAGACCCCAAAAATGGGGGGAGGGAGCCCAAAATGGGGCAGAGGGACCCCAAAAATGGGGAGAGACCCCAAAAATGGGGAGAGACCCCAAAAATGGGGTAGAGAGCCCAAAAATAGGGGAGAGAGACCCCAAAAATGGGGGAGAGAGACCCCAAAAATGGGGAGAGACCCCAAAAATGGGGTAGAGAGCCCAAAAATAGGGGAGAGAAACCCCAAAAATGGGGGGGAGAGACCCCAAAAATGGGGGAGAGAAAGACCCAAAAATGGGGGAGAGAGACCCCAAAAATGGGGGAGAGAAAGACCCAAAAAATGGGGAGAGGGACCCCAAAAATGGGGAGAGTGACCCCAAAAATGGGGAGAGAGCCCAAAAATGGGGAGAGACACCCCAAAAATGGGGAGAGAGCCCAAAAATGGGGAGAGACACCCCAAAAATGGGGAGAGAGACCCCAAAATGGGGAGAGAGAGCCCAAAAATGGGGAGAGAGACCCCAAAATGGGGAGAGAGAGCCCAAAAATGGGGNATGGGGAGAGAGACCCCAAAATGGGGAGAGAGAGCCCAAAAATGGGGAGAGAGACCCCAAAATGGGGAGAGAGAGCCCAAAAATGGGGAGAGAGAGCCCAAAAATAGGGAGAGGGACCCCAAAAATGGGGAGAGACAGCCCAAAAATGGGGAGAGGGACCCCAAAAATGGGGAGAGAGACCCCAAAAATGGGGGAGAGAGAGCCCAAAATGGGGGAGAGAGACCCCAAAAATGGGGAGAGAGAGCCCAAAAATTGGGAGAGAGACCCCAAAAATGGGGAGAGAGAGACCACAAAAATGGGGGAGAGAGACCCAAAAAATGGGGGAGAGAGAGACCCAAAAATGGGGGAGAGGGACCCCAAAAATGGGAAAACCCCAAAAATGGGGGGAGAGAGCCCAAAAATGTGTCAGAGACCCCAAAAATGGGAGAGAAAGACCCAAAAAATAGAGGGGAGAGACCCCAAAATGGGGGAGAGAGAGCCCAAAATCCCAGACCCCAAATCCCCTCAGCCCCAAAACAGCCCCGGGGCAGCGGTCAGCGGGATCAGTGGTCAGTGGTCAGTGGTCACTGATGGTCAGTGGTCACTCATGGTCAGTGGTCACTCGTGGTCAGTGGTCACTCCTGGTCACTGATGGTCAGTGGTCACTGATGGTCAGTGGTCACTGATGGTCACTGATGGTCAGTGGTCACTCATGGTCAGTGGTCACTCATGGTCACTCATGGTCAGTGGTCACTCGCAGTCACTCGGGGTCACTCAGTGGTCAGTGGTCAGTGGGGGTCAGTGGTCAGTGGTCTGTGGTCCCTCATGGTCAGTGGTCCCTCATGGTCACTCATTGGTCACTCGTGGTCAGTGGTCACTCATTGGTCACTCAGTGGTCACTATTGGTCACTCATTGGTCACTCAGTGGTCACTCATTGGTCACTCAGTGGTCACTCAGGGGCAGCGGTCACTCAGTGGTCACTCAGTGGTCACTCAGTGGTCACTCAGTGGTCACTCAGGGTCAGTGGTCAGTCAGGGTCAGTGGTCACTCTGGTCACTCAGGGTCACTCAGTGGTCACTCAGTGGTCACTCTGGTCACTCTGGTCACTCAGGGTCACTCTGGTCACTCAGTGGTCACTCAGGGTCACTCAGTGGTCACTCA